TATAAATTCTGTGTCGATATACCTCCTCTTCCACACTACACCTGAGAAAGGAGCAGAGCTTCAAAAGCTACTGCTTTCAAATAAACCTGTTAGATTATAACCTGCTATCATGTGATTTTTGACCTTGTCCACCCCAGTCCAACTGGCACTTCCACATCATTTGAAAAATGACACATTTAATCAACCCAGGTTAGACAAGTACTGACTTAATAACAAGTGATTTAAACATTTCAAAGTCTCTAGGATGATAAATGAGTACAAAATGATTTGCTGAATTGAAAGTGGGTAAATTTGATTTGAAAAACAAAGACTTCTGGAGTTGAAAGTATAAATCTTTTTTAAACCATCTTGGATAATGTTCTCCTCATTAAGGTGAGGGGGCAGCAGTGCTGATGACTGGAGCAGATTGCAACATGTGATGCCCACTGTCGTCATCAAACATTCCCAGGACAGGTACAGCACAGGATTGTGTACACAGTAAAGCCACCTCTAACTGTTCCCATCGAACACTCCCAGTATAGGTACAGAGACAGTAGGAACTGCCGATGCTGGAGAATCTGAGATAACAAGGTGTAGAGCTGGATGAACACAGCAGGCCAAGCAGCATCAGAGGAGCAGGAAAGCTGATGTTTTGGGTCTGGACTCTTCTTCAGAAATTTCTGAATTTCAGGACAGGACAGGACAGGGTCACAAACTGTACAGCGTAAAGCTCTCTCTACACTGTCCCCATCAAACAGGCCCAGGACAGGTGCAGCACGGGTTGAGTACAAAGTAAAGCTTCCTCTACACCGTCCTCATTAACACTTCCAGGACAGGTGCGTCACAGAGATAGGTACAGAATAATGCTCCCTCTACACTGTTCCATGAACAGACAACAGGCACAGCACAGGGTCAGATCCAGTGTTAACGAACTATCAACAAAAGCTTTGGCATTTCCATCTACCCTATTGGCTTCTTCTTGGGCAATGAATCTCAACTCATTTCTGAAGAAGGGTCACTGGACTTGAAACGTTAACTCAGTTTCTCTCTCCACAGATGCTCCCAGACCTGCTGAGTTTCTCCAGCAATTTCTGTATTTGCTTGTTTCAGATCTCCAACATCCACAGTTCTTTGTTTTACCTTGGTGTTATTATTGGTGGGTTATTGTAGGGAGCAGGGACCTAGTGCTGCTGGCTCCAGTCCAATTTTTCAGCCTGGAGGATGTCTCTTTCACCTCACTTTCCACCTGAAGACCCATGAAGGGAAGAGGAGGGCGAAATTGTCTATGTTTTATTAGTACTCAATGAAATTGAGTATTTGTCTCTTTAGGAAAAGAACTACCCTGTTGCATTGACCAAAGTCTCTCCAGCCATATATGGAACAGTCTGTATTAGGTGTTACAGCAGCAGAATCACAGGGGGTCACTTAGCTTAATTGGCTGGTCTGCAATGCAGAGTGATGCCAACAGTGCAGGTTCAATTCCTGCATTGGCTGAGGTTATTATGAAGGACCCTCCTCAACCTTTCCCCTCACCTGAGATGTGCTGACCCTCAGGACAAGCTGCCACCAGATGTGTGTCTCTCTCTCTAATGGAAGGGCAACCCAATGGTCTGCTAGGACTATGGGGAAATCATCTTTATCAGCAATACCCCTACACCAAGGTGTATAACGCTGGAACTTTAGGTGGTCAGTTTAAGACGCACTCCAGAAACATGAGCATGCAACTTAGACTGTCACAGTACTACTGGGGGAGTGCTACACTGTCAAAGGTGTTGTTTTTCAGGTAAGATGTTTAGCTAAGGCCTTCTCTGCCCTCTCAGGTAGATATAAGAGTATCCGAAATAATTTTAAAGTGTAGGGGAGCTCCACACAATGTCTTTACCAACTTCAACCAATATCCTGCCCCAGGTGATGTAGTTGTGACCACATTGTTGATTGTGAGAGCTTGCTGTACACAAATTAGCTGTGACAATGCTTCAAAATAAACAGTACCATCAGCTATTAAGGACTTTGCGTCAGTCTGGGGTTTTGAAAGGCAATATAAAAATACAAGTCCTTTCAAGTCTTTCTTTACTTAGCACTGTTATAGTCTTCTCATTTTTGACCTGCTACACCTCACTTCCTCAAAAACTCAATCAAATTGTGAGAAAAGACCTCCCTCGTACAAAGCCATGCTGACTATCCCCAATAAGTCCATTCTTTTCCAAATGCATGTAAATCCTGTCCCTAAAAATCTTCTCCAATAATTTCCCTACCACGGATGTAAAGCTCACCAACCTATAATTTGCTGGATTATCCCTGTTGCCATTCTGAAACAAAGTAATAGCATTGGCTGTTCTCCTGACTTCTGGGATCATGGCTGTGGCTAAAATGGATACAAAGTCATACAGTCATAGAGTCACACAGTATGAAAACGACCATTTGGTCCAACCAGTCCATGTCAACCATGTTCCCAAACTAAATTAGTCCCCCTTGCCTGCATTTGGTCCATATCCCTCCAAACCTTTCCTATTCATCTACTTATCCAATGTCTTTTAAATGTTGTAACTGTACTCGAATCCATCACTTCCTCTGGCAGTTCACTCTACACTTTAATCACTCTCTGTGTAAAAAAGGTTGCCCCTCATGCCCTTTTTAAAACTTTCTTCTCTGACCTTAAAAATATGCCCTTAGATTTGAACTCCCCACCCTAGGGAAAAGACACTTGGCATTCAACTTATCCGTGCCCCTCATGATTTTATAAACCTCTATAAGGTGACCCTTCAACCTCCTGCGCTCCAGTGTAAAAAGTCCCAGCATTTCCAGCCTATTTTAGTAACTCAAACCCTCCATTCCCAGCAACATCCTGGGAAATCCCTCCTCATCTCAGTCCTAAATTAGCACCCCTTTATCCAGAGACTATGCTGTCTGGTCCTCTCAGCATTTATCCTGTCAAGCCCCTTAAGAATCCTGTGTTTCAATGAGATCACGCCTCATTCGTCTAACCCCTAGTGAGTAAAGTGCCAACCTGTTTAATCTGCTTGTAAAACAATCGCTCCATACCAGGGATCATCCTCGTGAACCTCCTCTGAACGGCCCCAGTGAAATAATATCTTTCGTTAAATAAGGGGACCAAAACTGCTCACAGTACTCCAGATGTGATCTTACCAGCACTTTATACAGTTGCAGTAAGATTTCCCTACTCTTATACTCCAACCGCCTTGAAATACGGGCCAACATTCCATTAGCCTTCCTGGTTACCTGCTGCACCTGTGTGCTAGCTAGCTTGTTACGCACAAGAACCTCTAAGTACTTCTGTGTTGCTCTCCCATCCTAAATGAGCAACTTCACATTTTCCCATTTTATACTCCATTTGTTAATCTTTTGTCCACTTATTTAACTTATCCATATCTCTCTGTAAACTGTTTATATCCATCTTGCATCTGGCTTTCCATTTATGTGTGTTGTCTGCAAATTTGGCAAAGTACATTCGCTTCCCTTCTCCAAGACATTAATGTGTATTGTGAACAGTTGTGGTATTGTTGTTCCAGTACTGATCCCTGTGGACCCCCACTAGTCACAGGGTCACCAACCTTAAAATGAACCTTATCCCCACTCAATGTTTCCTGCTCATTAGCCAATTCTCTATCTGTGCTATTAAACCATCTCCAATACAGTGGGATCTTATCATGTGATTTAACCTTTTGTGAGCACCTTGTTGAACACCTTCTCAAAGTCCAAATACAACACATCTACTGGTTCCCCTGTATGCACTCTGATTGAAACTTTCTTTAAAATCTAATAAATTAGTTAGACACTATTTCCCTTTCATGAAGGCATGCTGACTCAGCTCGATTAAGTTATGATTTTCCAAATGTTCTGCTATTACTTCCTTAATAATTGATTCCCATACTTTTCCAACAATAGATGCTCGGCCTATAGTTACTCAGTTTTCGCTTCCGTCCCTGTTTGAATGGAGGATGTCACATTCGCAGTTTTCCGATCTTCTCCAGAATCAAAGGACTCACAATTACTTTCAATCCATGCCCCATGATTACTGATCTCTCTGATAAGGAAAACAGATCTCTCCCGTCTGATTTTCTGATGAAGGGTCAAGGCCCGAAACATCAGCCTCTCTGCTCCTATGATGCTGCTTGACCTGCTGTGTTCATCCAGCCCTGCACCTTGTTCGCCCGTCCATTTGTCTGGGCCATTCATGATTTTATCCACCTCACTCATATCTCGCCTCAGCCTCCTCTGTTCCATTTAAGTCAAGTTCCAGCCAAGAAATTAATAGGGGGAGGCAATGGCCTCGTGGAGTTATTGCTAGCTTAGCCAGCAATGCCCTCAGCCCATGAATGAATAAAAAAAATCTTCATCTTGTAATCTGCGGTTCTGGTAACATCCTTGTAAATCTCCTCTGTCCCCTACTAATGCATTTACATCCTTTCTGAATTGAGGTCACCAAACTACACACAGTGCCCCAGCTGCGGTATACTTTGTGCTTTATATAGAGATGGCATTATCTCAGTGTTTGACTAATAAAGCATTGCATATGCCTTCTTAATGATTGTTTTTACCCATCTCAACCCCTTCAGGGATCTGTGGACATTCACTCCAAGATCCCTCCTTTCCTCTAGACCTCCGTATCCAACCACCTTTTACTTATTCCTTTGCTCTCCCCAAATGCTTTCTGTCATCCTTATCTCTGCATTGGATTTCATTTGCCAATTTTCTGACCAGTCCGATGGTACCATCCAGCAGTCTACACCTTCCCTCCTCACCATCAACGACAACACCAATCCTCCTTGCTTCAGCAAATGCATTGATTACGCCTCTTAATTTCTGCCTGTTTGGATTTGGATTTCTGCCTGCACCATTTCCTAGAGTTCATCCATGTTCCTAACAACCACTGTGTTAACACTGGTGGCACATCTGTCCTTGCTTCAGTCACCTCTTGGTATCTCATAATGGTTATTGAGTGTTACAGAAGTCAATGTTAGGAGACTGATGCTCAAAGAGCTCATAGGCCCTGTACTTACAAGGTGCGAAGCTTTGGCATGTGGTTAAAGCTGGAGACAGGGATACTACTGATATTATTGTTATTCAGGGTCCTGGAAAAGACGATACAAAAAAATTAATTAACTTTCCTTCTTTTATCTTTACCTTTTTGATTTTCTCTCCTTCAGTTGTAGCAAAATAAAGAAAGATTTTGCATTCTTGTAGCATCTTCCATAATTACAGGACCTCCCAAAGCCATTCACCATCAATGAAGTACACTTAGATTTTAACATTGCCAAAAAGAAACATGAAGTTGAAGATTTTCGTCGTGCAGCTGGTGGATTTAAAATCAACTTCTAAAAACCTAAAACTTAAATCTATTCTCAGCAACAACCCATCTCATTTAATGGTTAGTGAAGGAAATCTTCCATCCTTGCCCATGGCAATGTGGTTGATTCTTAGCCGGTCTCTGAAACAGTCAAGCGAGACACCCAGTTCAAGGACCACTGGGGATTAGTAACAAATTCTGACCATGCCAGTGACATTCCATGAAAGAATATAAAACCAAGTCTGGGAAAGACTTACAGAACTTCCAGGCTCCTGAGGGCACGGAACGCCCCTTCCTCAATGCAAGTAATTTGGTTTTTATCAAGTTGCCTGTCGTAAAAGAGAGACAAGGAACATTGAGGCCATTAGCAGTGACACCATAAACATTCAGGCCCACTTACCTATCTTTTGTCTTTGCTAGGCCCTAGCCCTCAGGCCATGAACAAATCTGTAAAGGTTTCTTTCTATCGCTGACATTCTAGTCTGAGGTTTGGCCTCATACTGTTTACAGGCCTCTCAATGGACTCTGCTTTTTAGAAACCTATACCATCAAGATCTTTGAATTCCCTTCTCCTTTCATTATCTGCGATAGTCAGAGCGCTGGACAGTAAGTGGAGGAGGACACAAGAGAAGGATTGAAGATGAGAGGTGGATAGAGAGTGGGAAAGATGAACTGAAGCTGGGACTAAATAGGAAAAGATGGAAAATGTGAGAAACGGAGATCTGGGCAGAAAGTGGGAGCGATAGTTGGATAGAGACTTGAAAAGGTAAGCAGAAAAGGAAGACAGCAAACTAATTAACATTGAGAGAGTACACAAAGTAAGGAGAGGAAGAAAGAGACACAGAAATCCAATGACACAGCGTGCAGATGGACAGAGTAACAAGGAGTTAAAAATACAAAAGGAGTTAGAGACAACAGAGAGAGAAACTGAATTGAGAAAGATAGCATTGGAGATGGAGTAATGATGGAGAAAAAGAAAGAATGAAGTAGATGGAGAGGACAGAGGGGTAGACAGTGCTTTCTAATGCTCGATGAAGGACGGATTCTCTCAATGACATATAGTGCTACCTATTTTAAATCACTCCCATTGATTTCATCCTCCTGTAACACACAGCTGGGGCGAGAATTACAGCTGAGCTCGAAGTTAATCTTTGAGACAATGGCCACTGACCTTTAGCAGGGAAAAACATTGATTTTGTCTTGTTTTAATCTTGTTTAGGGAGAAGAACTAACGTTGACATTGGAACTCGCCTGGGAAAAGGCAAAATTGGTCTCTGTTATTTCCATCTTGAGGAGTTTAATCAAACAGACAGATTGAGTAAAGTTCAACAAGGTGCAGGGCTGGATGAACACAGCAGGCCAAGCAGCATCATAGGAGCAGAGAGGCTGACGTTTCGGGCCTAGACCCTTCATCAGAAAAGGGGGAGGGGAAGGGGGTTTTGAAATAAATAGGGAGAGAGTGGGAGGCGGATAGAAGAGGGATAGAGGAGAGGATAGGTGGAGAGGAAACAAACAGGTCGAAGAGGCGGGGATGGGGCCAGGAAAGGTGAGTGTAGGTAGGGAGTTAGGAAGGGGATAGGTCAGTCCAGGGAGGACGGACAGGTCAAGGGGGCGGGATGAGGTTGGTCGGTAGGAGATGGAGGTGCGGCTTGGGGTGGGAGGAGGGGATAGGTGGGAGGAAGAACAGGTTAGGGAGGCAGGGACGAGTTGGACTGGTTTTGGGATGCGGTGGGGGGAGGGGAGATTTTGAAACTTGTGAAATCCACATTGATACCATTGGGCTGCAGGGTTCCCAAGCGGAATATGAGTTGCTGTTCCTGCAACCTTCGGGTGGCATCGTTGTGGCACTGCAGGAGGCCCAGGATGGACATGTCGTCTGAGGAATGGGAGGGGGAGTTGAAATGGTTCGCGACTGGGAGGTGCAGTTGTTTGTTGCGAACCGAGCGTAGGTGTTCTGCAAAGCGGTCCCCGAGTCTCCGCTTGGTTTCCCCGATGTAGAGGAAGCCACACCGGGTACAGCGGATGCAGTATACCACATTGGCAGATGTGCAGGTGAACATCTGCTTGATGTGGAAAGTCTTCTTGGGGCCTGGGATGGGGGTGAGGGAGGAGGTATGGGGGCAGGTGTAGCACTTCCTGCGGTTGCAGGGAAAAGTGCCGGGTGTGGTGGAGCTGGAGGGGAGTGTGGAGCGGACAAGGGAGTCACGGAGAGAGTTGTCCCTCCGGAAAGCAGATAAGGGTGGGGAGGGAAAGATGTCTTTGGTGGTGGGGTCGGATTGCAGATGGCGGAAGTGTCGGAGGATGATGCGTTGGATCCGGAGGTTGGTGGGGTGGTACGTGAGGACGAGGGGGATTCTTTTTTGGTTCTTATTGCGTGGACGGGGTGTGAGGGATGAGGTGCGGGAGATGTGGGAGACACGGTTGAGGGCGTTCTCGACCACCGAGGAGGGGAAGTTACGGTCCTTGAAAAACGAGGACAACTGAGATGTACGGGAGTGGAATGCCTCATCCTGGGAGCAGATGCGGCGGAGGCGAAGGAATTGGGAATAGGGGATAGCATTTTTGCAGGAAGGTGGGTGGGAGGAGGAGTATTCTAGGTAGCTGTGGGAGTCGGTGGGCTTGAAATGAATATCGGTTTCGAGGTGGTTGCCCGATATGGAGACAGAGAGGTCCAGGAAGGGGAGAGAGGTGTTAGAGATGGTCCAGGTAAATTTAAGGTTGGGGTGGAAGGTGTTAGTGAAGTGTATGAACTGTTCGAGCTCCTCGTGGGAGCACGAGGCGGC